CAACCCAAATCCCTGAATTCCTCATTTCAAAAACTCCTCCAGGACTCCACCCGGTGTGTCTCGTTGATTTCATTTGCATGGTGAAACCTAAATAATTTATATATCGAAGGCTGTCATATATTCTGCCTGGGCCTTGCCTTTGAACTTTAGGGCCTCAGAATACTCTGAGTTGAATCTGGGCAAAATGAAGTAAAAGGGAAAAAGACCTCCCTCACGGCTCAGCCAGTAAGGATCTGCCTGCGGCGCAGGTGACCCGGGTTCCATCCCTGGGTCGGGAAGACCCCCTGGAGAAGGGAATGGCAGCCCACTCCAGTACTCTGGCTTGGGAAATCCCATTGATGGAGGAGCCTGGTGGGCTACAGTTCATGGGGTCTCAAAGAGTCGGAACACGACTGACCGACTTCACTTCACTTCAAAATCAAGTGTATTTCCAACTGCCATGTAAATGGGATTTTTCTCTCCAAGCAGCTGCAGGTCCCTCGCAGTCTGTCGTAGTTCCTGCAGTCCGCCTCCTAACCCACTGTTACTTCTTATAAACGACCGTGCCTAGGTTCGCGGTCATGTTCTAATCACATAGAGGCACGAAAGTAGCAAATAATCCCCCTCTCCACTTCCAGGCCCTGGCCAGCAATCAAAAATCTGACTGTGGGTCTTTGTTCATTCTATTTTTGGGTGATACCATATCGCGCAAAACACCTCTCAGCCTCAGCCCGGTTAATCAATAGCCGTTCAAAAGTAAATTTGTCATGGAAGTGTATAAACATCTACATTCAATAGTGTTTGCCAAAGTAATGCGTTTGCCCCGTGATTATAAATGATCAGATAAGTAAAACAACACAGCGGCAGCAAACACGGCTGATCGAGAAGAGACTTCTGGACACGGGGTGGGACTGGGGCGGAGGGGAGGGAGGGGCGGACGAGGGTCGCACCGGAGCTCGCCGTGTGACGGGGAAACTCAAACAGGGCCCTGGAACAGCCTGGCGGGGCGGGGCGGGGAGGGGGGCGCGGGGAGGTCGCGGCGGGGGCTGACTCATGCTGATGTTTGGCAGAAACCAACGCGATACGGTAAAGCAGTTAAAAATAAAGTTATTATTTCTTTTTAACTGCTCCAGTCTGTGCTGAGAAGGAAATGGCAACCCACTCCAGTGTTCTTGCCTGGAGAGTCCCAGGGACGGGGGAGCCTGGCAGGCGGCCGTCTAGGGGTCGCGCGGAGTCGGGCACGACTGAAGCGACTCGGCAGCAGCAGCAGCCTGTGCTGAGGTGGTGGGTATGAGCCTGGCTTTATTTCTGCGATCTCACTGTCACTAAATCTACTGAAATAAATGAAGCAGGGCTGAAACCCAGCGAGGAGCCAGGTAGGCAAACGCTGTGCCCCAGACACGGTTCGTCCCCGCCCTCATTTCTCACGGCCGGAATCCCCTCCCCGCACCCAGCCACCCCAGTTTCCGGGACCAGCCCTACCGTCCGTGGAGACACAGGTGTTGGTGCAGCCCCCCGGGACCACGCCCTCCCAGCCCCTCCGAGCGGGGGCTCCGTTGTGACCTGCCCCGGCGCCCCGGCCTAAACCCGGGCCCTCTCTTGGCCCTTAGCCCTCGGCTCTGAAGCTCACCGGACTCCTGGCGGCCTCTCTGTCCCTCAAGCCACCTGGACCTGCTGTCCCTACAACGATGCGACTCGGAAAGGAAATCGACTCTAAACACTCACTGGAAGGACTGATGCTGAGACTGAAGCTCCACCACTGCGGCCCCCCGATGCAAAGAGCCAACTCATTAGGAAAAGATCCTGCTGCTGGGAGAGGTTGAGGGCAGGAGAAGGGGACGACAGAGGATGAGCTGGTTGGATGGCATCATTGACTCAATGGACATGAGTTTGGGTAAACTCCGGGAGTTTGTGATGGACGGGGAGGCCTGGCGTGCTGCTGTCCACGGGGTCGCAAAGAGTCGGACACGACTCAGTGAGTGTACAACAACCATGTGCCCCAGGACAGGGAGCCTGTCCTGAGATGCTGGTGACTAGAAATAGTCTCCAATTCTGTCTCCCTCAGCCTCCTACTGCGACCCCCTGCCGCCCCTCCCCGCCACTCCCTTACCACCGACCCGCAGCCCTGGCCCCAGACCTCCTGCAGCTCCTCCAGTTTATCTGGAAGTGGACTTCGGCCCAGGGCCCTCACCACGCATTCCTTCCAGGCCGGGCCTGACCCCCAAAAAAGATCAGCAGCTTCTTCTCAACCAACGCTCTGCACTTCCGACCTTGTTCTTACTTAAGTGCCTCTGTCTGAGCCTAACATCTACGGATTCGTGGAGACAGAGCTCATGAAGGCTGTCCTCACCACCCTCACTGTTTACCTGGGATCAGCCAGGGGCCTGAACACAGCCATCTATTAATTGCCTGCAGACACCATGATGCAGCAGATTGCAGTATTTTCACACAGTGATGAGAAACCTGGGATCCCATTTTAATAAGAAATGTGCTTAGATTCCGTTGGCAAGACTGAGGCAAAAGCAGGACCAAGTGCAGGCTGACCTGGCTTCCTTCTTACTGTATGAATCCTATCTGGGGAAACCCTATGCTGGGTCAGTTACCGAGCATGAGAGGACGGGGAGGCACTTTCTAAGCCACGCGGGCTGATCCGATGCCCCTCGGACACGAGCCCTATTACTGAGGAGGGCTGGGGCTCCCTGGCGTCCAAGTCACCTGCATGCCCTGTGCAAAAGCCATCTCAAGCTCATTCCACCTCTCGGAGCAGGACAGGGTAGGCATTTGCTCAAATTCCCACTTGAGTACTTCTGATAAAACCAACTGTTTCTAATAAAACTGGAAGGACTTTTGTACTTCCCACTGGCACCATCTAAGTCCCTGGTTTCAGGCTTAGTTGACTTAAGTGAAATAGGCAGCATTGCAGGAGAGGGCTGTTTGGGCGCTGATTCAAACCCTCAGCTGCTTCCGAAGCGCTGCATGCCTCTCAGAGAGCGTGTTCCCAGGGGCTCCACGAAGCAGTCATCAGAGACGCTCCATCACAGCTCCCAGCTCCGGAAAGCTGAGCTGCGTCCCTGTCCGGGTGTGGGGCGGCATACGCCACCCTCTGAAATGCACTTGAAGCTGTGACCTGAATGAGCATCAAGCCGTCTGCTGGGGGAGAAGCCAATGTTATGGGCTGAACTGTGTCTCCAAAAACGATGTCCAGTGCCCGGGAGCTCAGAATGTAGCTGGACTGGGGAACAGGGCTGCTGCCTGCTGTGTCATCAGCTCAGATGAGGTCACACTGCATTAGGGGGCCCCTAATCCAAGAGCACCGATGTGTTTAAGAGAAGAAACACACGAGGAGAGAAGGTGATGTAACGACAGAGGGAGAGATCAGTGATGTATCTATGAGCCAAGGTTGCCGGCAATAGCAGACGCTGGAAGAGGCAAGGAAGGATCCTTCTCTACAGGTTTCAGATGAAGCGTGGCCCTGCCCACACCTTCAGCATGGGCTCCCAGCCCCCAGAAATGCGAGACAATAAGACTCTCTTGTGTGAAGCCACCCAGTGTGTGAGACTTCGTTACAACATCCCTAGGAAAGGAAAGCAAAGAGGAAACGAACAACTGGGGGATCACAAAAACCTCTTGACTGAGAAGGAGGAGATATGGACGGTCTCCAACTGAGGATGCTTCGATTTAGGATTTTTGACTTCATAACAGAGTGAAAGCAATGCGCATCTGCGAGAAACCAAACTTTGGATTTTAACTTTGCTCTTTCCCCAAGTTAGCAGTCCTGGGTTCCTGGTCCTCACTCGTGACGTCAGGCAGTGGCCCCGAGCACGGCTCCACGCCAGCCACGCGATCACCAGCGCAAGCGACCACTCTGTACCCAGGTGGCCATTCTGTCTTTCACGCTCAGTACCACATTCAATAAATTATACGAGACAGTCAAAACTTTATTACAAAATAGGTTTTGCGTTGGGCTCCCCTGGAGGCTCAGATGGTAAAGAATCTGCAGCAATGCAGGAGACCCGGTTCCATCCCTGGGTCAGGGAGATCCTCTGGAGAAGGGAGGGGCTCTGCGCTCAATGGTTTTGCCCAACGGTGGGCTTGTGGAAGTGCTCTGAGCACGTCTAAGGTGGGCGAGGCTGAGCCACGGTGTTCAACAGGTTGGGTGTATTCAAACCACGTTTTACTACGATACTTTTGACGTACGATGGGTTGACTGGGATATAACCTGGTTGTAAGCCAAGGAAGATCTGTACATGTTTGTGATCAGGAACATCTTTCATAGTGTGGTAGCCTACCTGGCTGAACTGGAAGAAGACAGACAAGGCCCAGCATTCCTGGAAGGAACCTTCCTTCCCCTAAGAAACTAGACCATCTAATTCAGGCCCCAAGGAGGGGAAGGAACAGGGTGGGGGTGGGGGGGGCAATAGAAATGGAAGGTTTTATTCCTCCCTACTTACAAAATCCTGCCTCCTGCATACTGACCATCAGTCCCTTCCCTGCTCACATGCTTACAGAAAGACTAAGGGGTGTTTTCACAGCATGATCTGGTGTCATCTTCATACAGAGGGAATGAGGGAAAGTATTATAACTCCCATTTCACACACAAGGAAACTGAGGCTCACATAAGATCACAGATGCAATGACCATCCTGCAAAGAAGTTCAGCTAACAAACCAAAAGGCATGGCAATGGGGCATGGGGAAAAAAAGCTCTGAATTTCGTCTTAAAAAAAAAAATGGGGTCAAACAAAAGTTCCAAAGGGAATCAGACCTGTTGGCCTTGAAAAGTAGACCTTTATCTTTTTCAGTCGTTCAGATAACGTTGCTGTGGACATGATCTGCTGATTCTCTGACCAGCATGGTCAAGTGTCTTTGAGGGGAACCCCCAAACATGTAAGAACGCTGGCCTTCTGTCTCATTTGGGGCTTCCCAGTCGTCAGAAGCGTCTGTGCGAGCAGGGGACCCTTCATAACCATCACCCCGGGCAAGCTGGACCTCAGAAAGCGAGAGGCTGGAGCACCACAGTCTCATGTCCAACAACTGTGATGACGGAACGGACCGGACCCTTCCCCAAAGCATCCCTGAGCAAGAGCAGGGGAGGCAGGGACCCCAGGAAATGACCGGGTGGAAAGCACCGGGGAGGAGAGCTGGGTGGGCAGCTCTGACTCCAAGCAGCTGCCTCTTCCACAGACTACAATCCTCCCGCTCTGGAAAACACCCACCACTGGTCACCGAGAAAACATGCCTTTCCCACCCCCAAACCCGCGACCAAGATGCCGGGCATGGAGGCCTCAGGACTCCCCACCTGCACCCCGAGAAATCTCCTCTGCGAAGTGCCCTCCCTCCCCAACTTGTCAGCTTGAAAATATTAAACACCACTGAAGGAAATTTAAGGTTTCTTTTTCAGATTTAAATGTCTACTTATTTCAAAATGAATTAGTAGTTCTCTGGGTTTCATAATGTTTAATTCATTAATGATAACTACAGCTCGAGAATTTGAAAGGGAAATTGCTTCCAGGATAAAATTAAATGTGAAACGCTGAGCGGTGATTCACGGCTGTTCCTATCTAAATTACTAATCCAAGTGACAAACCTGGCTGGCAGCACAGAAAAGCAATACTCTTTCCCCACTGCCTTCACAGACTTCGCCGAATTGTTTTGCAAACCGTCTAAACCCAAGTCCTAAATAATCCCCTGCCAGCAGCCTCCATTTCATTGAAAAATCTAGTTCTTAGCATCTCTATTGCCTCAGAGAGGTTCAGGATGGACTAATCCTTTGGTGCCTCGGAAAAAAAGAGTTTTCTCCACATTCGAGTCTAGGTGTATAGTCTGATGAATTTCCAAGGCAGTTTTAAATTTAAGGCAAATATCTAGGTGGTATCTGTCCATGTCCTCCTGAAAGAAACCTGCATAAAACTCTAAAAATGAGAGCTTTCTTTTAGTTTGCAAGGAAGGCTGGCCAGCTGAGAGTCAGTTACGTATCTCCCTGCTGGAACAACTGGGAGCTGGAATAAACCATGTGGCCCGAAAGACAAGACAATATGAAGTCTCCAAAGCCGCTTGGAGCCCAGGCTGTGCTGCCTCCTAGAACGTCATGCAGGTCTGCTCCTGCAGCCAACACCAGGGTTCACACCCTGACCAGGGTGGAGAAGCAGGGATGCTAGGACCACGTGACCACAAAGGAGCCCAGAGACCAAGGTCCCACAGGCCACATCTCCCGGGGAACTGCAGCCCAGACCACCCTGAGAGCCGGAAAACGGGTCCCCCATCTCCAACCTCCCCCTCTCTCCCCACCCTGCACGCTGGTCCTCAGGGGCAAGTCAGACGCCAGGCAGCCCTCGGGAGCACTCCTCCACGCCAGGGCTTTAATGTGATGCCGCCTTACCCCTGGGGACAATCCAGGGGAGGCGCCCTCAGGGTCCCCGTACTGCAGGGCAAGGCAAGTCAGCAAACACACTCAATGCACTTGCCTAGGTCACAGGGCAAGAACACGGCAGAGCCAGGATCCACACCACACTTTCTGCCCAGTTTCCCACGCTGTGGACTCTCTGATCACGCCGCCCCCAGCCTCGAATATCCGACTTACTCCTCATGATCAGGCCGCAGGGCCCACACGCCCACCGAGGTCTGCAGACACTTGGGCGGCTTGGTTCCACTTCCAGCTGCTCCATCTTCCCCACACTCTGGCTTCTCCAGACTACACACCTGTTGTTCTCTGCCTCTCCTCCCAGGAGGGCTCCTGAGACCACCGTGGGCATCTCTCCCCTCACCCCCTCTCTGCTCCTGCAGGCCACATGCATCCCCTTTGTCAACCGTTCACAACTTACTCTTGACGCTGGGGCTACCTGGTGGCTCAGCTGGTAAAGAATCCGCCTGCAACGTGGGACACCTGGGTTCGATCCCTGGTTGGGAAGATCCCCTGGAGAAGGAAAAGGCTCCCCACTGCAGTATTCTGGCCTGGAGAATCCCATGGGCTGTACAGTCAATGGGGTCACAAAGAGTCGGACACGACTGAGTGACTTTCCCCGACACTGGGGGCACACGTGAGTCTCCCCCTCGAATCCACGAACTGCTTCTCCAAGGCAACAACTCTGGCTCTTCCATGACCGGCCCCTGCACCCACAGCAGGGCCGCAGAGAGGTGGTCCCTAAACCTTTGGAACCGACAATGTGCCGTGACAAACGTGTTCAAAGCCAAAGCAGACAGCAGACTCAGGGGCTTGTGCCAAATTGACTCACGACCCTCAAGAGTGGGGAAGAGGAGACGGGCAAGGGATTTTGTGCACTTTTTCAAAGCTCTGCCTGTCAGGGAGCTTTATTTTTTCCATCAGGCATTCAAACTTGGCCACCATGTGACGGAGAGAACACCTAGCTGTCTGTTCACTAGCGAATGGGTTTATGAAGCAAGCCTGTTTCGGATTTTAAATCGGCCAGGGATAATCTTTAGAGGGGGAAACTCAAGAGTCACCCATGTGTTACAAAAGCAAAGAGAGACAAACAATCCCCAGCTCCAACTGGCTTTTATTGTTGCTTCCTGGCAGCAGAAGGGAGGGCAAAGAGATACTTGGAAGCCGGGGGTTTTGTAGCTGTCTCGTTTTTAATTTTAAGGAGGGAGGTCTGTCGACCCTTCTGCAGGGATGAGTTGATGCAAAGCAGCCTGGACTCCCCACAGCACCAGTCCCAACCATTCAGGCCTCCGTTCCTGACCACGAACTTGGCATCAAATAAACCCAGATGCCACAGACAACACAGAAAGCAAAAATAACAATTGCAACTCATGGTGATCACGTAAATCGTAACCCCCTTAGAATAGGTGCAAACGTCCCGTGCATGTGATTTCTCCGAGGTACTGGGAAAACACACAAAAATACACTGTATTGTTATGTAAATTTAACCTTCAGCTCATACCCTAGCTAAAACAAACACTACATTAAATCATCTTCCCTCACCTTCTTAGAACTTAACGAGCCCCTGGGGGGCATTCTGGATGCCCCGTGTCTCTTTGGTAAAAGCTTCCAAGGAGACTCCTGGTAACAGGGTCACACGCGATGCTGGCTTTCCTGTCCCTCCACCTCGCCTGCAGCCGGCACAGGCCTTCAGAGCAAGCTCCTGATCCTAGAGGTTGGCCGTCGGTTTACAGCAACTATCTGGGCTACGTTCAGGGGTGTTTCTCCCAGGGAGAAGCATTTGCCAAATATTTTCTAACTTGTCTCATTTCTTCCCCGTTTACTCAATGTCTCCAAAGCAGCCCCGCCTGCTCAGTGTCAGCTTGGAGACGTCAGGACAGAAGGCAGTCCAGTCCAGACACCCTTAGCTGACCCTGCAGGGCACCTACAGCCCTAGGCATCCAGAGAGGCCCCCTCAGGTCACCAGGATGAACATGGCCTTTAGAAGAACCTTCCAAGTTGTCGGCTGAATGAATGAGACACATGCAGTGGCATCTGGCCTTGCAGTTACACAAAGGAAGGATGCGGGGCAGGATGGTCAGGACCAGGCGTTCCAGGCTGCTCCACAGAAAGGGCAAGGGCACACAGCACTCTTCCCAAGGGACTTAAAAGCAGACAAAGAATTGCCTATTCTTGAGTTTCTTAGGGTTTCCACTTTAATGATTAAATAGAAAAACTAAAGAGCATCCATTGTTCATAAAAATGATCTTTCATAAGCATGTCGGGTTCTCAGAAAAGGGTTTCAGAACATTCTGACATCTTGGTTAAGCTTGTGTGTTCTAGGAATATCCTAAGTTCTCTGTTTCTTTGTGGGAAGGACTAGTTCAAGGAATTCCAGTCTTAACCATTTCCATCACCACAAAATTCTAATGATGGAAATCCACAGACACGTAAAATTTCTCTCAAATTTCAACTGCTTACAATACAAGGAACCATGAGATAAAGACAAAATGAGAAAGTGTCTAAGCAGAGGCACCTTTGGACGGGAAGCTACGACAGTGGTCGTGTGACTGGGCTGCATGGCAAGCATTTGTGTTCCGTGATACACCCTTAGACGCTGAGCTTGTTCCTCCTCAGTTCAACTCAGGAAGGAAAAGGTGGGCACGTTCACCAGCTCGAGCCCAGCATCGCCACCTGTCCTTCCTGCCACATCCTCCCGCTCCTCTCAAGCCTCTCCTGGAAAGAAAGAACTGAAAATACGGAAATAGCACCTTACTGGACCCACAGCTAACACGAGTCCCCTGCTTTAAGGATTATTCAGCTGGGGTGGGGTGGGGTGTAGACAGCACAGCAGGAAGCCTTCAGTGGCCAGATTTCACTGCAGCTGTGACGTGGCCTGTGCTCTCCAAACAAACGTCACTGCTCACAGTCTCTGAGGGTGGGATTTATTCTTGCAAACATACACGTGCAACGGCAGTTTAAAAATCTTCCTGTCCACGTCTGCTTGCCTCGCACAGAGCCCGTCTCCACCAAGTGCTCTCACCTGCTCTGCTCTCTTCTACCCGAGGAGAACACCTCCCCACCCAGCCGACCCTCACCCCTGCTTCCTCACCGCTGGCGTGGCCCCTTCACACCCCTGAAATCCCCCCAAAAGTCGCGCCCCGGGTGTCTCTCCAGAGCCACTGCCTGGAGATTCTGCTTCAGGACATCACTCATCTCTCCTTCCTTTTAAGGGTATGGAGAGACCAAGGCTTCTTTTAAGTTTAACCGAGAAACGGAAAGAATCCAAGTCCTATCTTCCCATCAGAGAGTTTGCAGGCCTCACTTACTCAGGTCCAACCGAGAAAAAAGTCAGGCCAAAGTAAGGGACCAGCTCCGCCCCAGGCAGAGGTCCAGCTGGAACTGAGCGCCCCCCACCTTTCCGGGTCTGGGCCTCCTGCCTTGCTTTGAAGCTCCCCTGACTCCTCCACGCCCCATCCTCAAGTCTCAGCAGGGCCTGTACCAGCTCGGATCACACTACACCCTGTGTCCTCCTTCTCGCCTTCCCTCCACTGACCCGCCCTCCGCCCTCCTCCCCCAAGCCCTGCACCCACTTCTCAGAGGGGTTGGTAGGAGCCTGAATCACAGGGTTAGCTACTACACCCTTACGGAGGTGAATGTATAGTAACCCTACGCAAGGGCACTCACGATTTAGCAAAGCATTTTGTGGCTCAGCTGGTAAAGAATCTACCTGCAATGT